AAACAATCTGTGTAAGTCATAAGGTTTGTGAAAAGAAAACTTATGAAATAAATTTTGTATATAATCAAGTTGGCTATAATGAAAAGGAAATAAGCTTTTGAAAAGATTGATATTTGATATTAAAAATACACTAATAAAAAACAAAAATTTTGGTTCCGTGTTACAACAAGATTTGCTTAAAATATTGCTTTGCTTTTAATAAAATTAAGAGGTGCTAATTTTTAATTCTGAAATCTGCTTCTCTTTAAAACTTTTTTTTTTTTTTTTTTGAGATGGAGTCTCACTCTGTCACCCAAGCTAGAGTGCAGTGGCGCAATCTCAGCTCACTGCAACCTCTGCCTTCTGGGCTCCAGCGATTCTCCTGCCTAAGCCACCTGACTATCTGGGACTACAGGCATATGCCACCCTGCCTGGTTAATTTTTTTGTTTGTTTGCATTTTTAGGAGAGACAGAGTTTCACCATGTTAACAAGGATGGTTTCAAATTTCTGACTTCAGGTGATCCACCTGCCTTGGCTTCCCACAGTGCTGGGATTACAGGTGTGAGCCACCATGCCTAGCCAAAAACTTATTTTTATTAAGAAAGTTTTTGTATTGTCTTTATTAAGTTTTTGATTACTCAAGAAAACTGAGCTTTAAAAGGGCTAAGATTTTTACATCCATGTAACTTTCTGTATTGCTTTTGAAGTCTTTTGATTATTGCTCTGGTTAAAGGAATAATTATCATTTACAATGATCTGTGATTCCATTTCGATCAAGCGTTTTATACCTTTTGACATCTTTGGCAGGTTTCTGCAAGATCAAAATCCTAAATTAAGTTTTTTTGACCTAAAGCTCACTTTGGTGTTTTCCAGTCGGACCCCTGAGGAGTCTCAAAAAATGTATCTCTCCTCTTGCAGAGATGTTAAATGATTAGACTGATTTGGTAAATTGTATGGGAGAACTGTCAAATGATATGTGACACTAGATCTTTCAGTTACACTTCTGAGTATGTTATTGATAAAATGCTCCCAAATTATATAAATTTATAAAAATCTGTTATCAGTCATAATTTTGATTATGTTAAATCTTTTCTAAAGTCATATTTGTGTAGATATTATTAATGTGAATATCCTAAAGATTATATGACATTTGTAAAAATCTAATAGTTTTAATGTGACACTGTCAGTCATGATTCTGTTTATCTTAGAATGTTGCACATAATCAAAACATTTAAATTTCTTGTCAATTGGAAACTTCTATCACATTTTAACCATGGTTATTCTAAGTTTTTTACATCAACCGTTATTGTTTTAAATTTTTCTTTATAAGCATTTGAAGTCAACTATAATCCAAAATTGCTATTTTTATGGAAAAGACTCTGACAAACACTATTGAATATGGGTTTCTGATAACTTTGGAGATCATATAGTTAGGTGAAATAAAAACTTCCCGAACTCTAATGAAAAACTGATGTCTTCATGAAAATTGCTAACCCAACACCAGCAGAATAAGAATTACATGAGACAAAATCAATGGAGGACTAACGTGACTTTTATGACTTTCTGTTTGAAACATTCAAAAGTCAAGAAAACTTCTCTTTCTTTTAAGTTACTTATATCTGACAGCAATTAGGGAAAGTATATTTTTGTGAGCCAAACCAAAACAGTTGCATTTCTCTCTCTACATGAATTCTCAATAATTTGGAAACTATTCATAAACATTCTTATTATATGGCAATGGTTATCATCTGCATAATAAGTTTAATAATAATCAGTGTTTTTTTTTTTTTTTGGTAACAGGACAGATTGGAAACACTGATTATTTTACCAAGGCTTTGATTAGAGTGTCATATTTTTAAATATGACAAAATTGTTTTGAGGGATTGAAATTGGCATTGTAGAGCCAATAGACTTGAAAGAAGGCTGACCTGGTACCTTGTCTACACAGTTCTCTTGTAGGGTTTTGACCTCATGGCAAATGATGTCCCTTCCTGACCGGCCCAGAAATCTGGAGGTGTTTGGGGGACTTCAAGAAGGGAGGAATTTATCCAATTTTTACAAGTAGTACAGGCGTAATCTGATAATAAATCCTTGATTTGGCTTTCTAGCCTAAAGAAGCTTTTAAAAGTATAACCTAAAATGTCTTATGAAAAAGTTCCAGCAAAGCCAACTTAAAAGGACCCTATATGGACAATCACTATTCCTGTTGCATTTTGTACAAATAATCAGGTCAAGTACAATAAGGCTAAAATTTATATTGCAAATGAAATTGGCCTATGATTTTTCTTTGGCAGAAAAGGGAGATCAAAGAGAGAAAAATTATTTTTCAGAAGAAAATTATAGCATACCTGTTATTAGATTCTAGCCCTGACCATTGTTTTTGAGTTTCAAAAAAATTATTATTTGCTTGAAATTTGGACTGAATTATTTCCTGGCTATAGTAAGTCCCTAAAGGGGAAATTGGATTTAATTTTCTTTCTTGGTTTGTTCCCTAATGGAATAGATTCTTTTTTCCCCCATTCTTGTATAAAAATTCTCTTTTTGATTATAATTTTTGTGTGCATTATGTTTCTCCTATTCAAATTATTAATGCTATGCATCTCTCATTGTTTTACTTCTTCCAAGAAAAGTCAAATTATGAAATTCTGAAAACTAGAGATGATTCAACAAACAACAGCAACTATAAATTGATGACTTGTTCATTTGGTTACCCTTAGGACTAGTTTCCTTATTCTATGATGTTTTTCAAGTTGTTTTGATTATAATATTAGGTTAGTGCAAAAAAGTAATTGTGGTTTTCACCATCAGAAGTAATGGTGAAAACCGCAACTACTTTTTTGTGCCAACCTAATAATAAACATAGTGTAATTTTTTTTGGCTGTTAAGTTACTCATGATTTGCATTTCTGCTTGCTTTAGATCAATGTCTAAGGCCAAAATAATCATTTCCTAGTGAGATGACTTATCATTCAGAATAGCATGTAATCTTGTGTTGTGACCCCATGGTGTTAGCAAACTGGCCTGCCTGCAAATAATAGATTTTGGGGATGTGACTTCCTGGAATAAGCCCTCCCATTGATAAGGAATGAAGAACATCTATCCCCCTAACCTGGCAGATTGATCAATGATGTTTCCATGGGAAGATTTTTTTTGATCAAAAGGGGAATGTGGTAACTATGGGACACATTTGGCAGTTTAGTTTAAAAGTAAACAGGCTTTCAAAGTAACCCACCTTGGGGAGGTCTTGTGATTCATGGTGAAATCCTGTCCCTGAATCTTATCATGAGTCTCTTAAATTGTTGACACAGTGATTAATGTGTAACCCAGTAACCCTGAAAAGGACACTGATATACTTCTGAATCTTTGAGGTTTACTGATTGTCCTGCCTGGAGACATTTGAGCCTGTATGTTGCAATCTGTATCCAATAATTGTAACTTCTGTATTGTGCCCTTCAATGAGAAGGGACAGCTTTGGTGTGAGGAGACCCTCTTTTCTCCTAACCTTTTCTATAAAACAGGGTTCCCCAACTCCTGGGCTATGGGTCCATACCAATCCATGGCCTGTTAGAAACTGGGCCATACAGCAGAAGGTGAGCAGTGGGCAAGCCAGTGAATTCATCTGTATTTACAGCGCTCCCTGTTGCTCGCATTACCACCTGAGCGCTGCCTCACGTCAGATCAGCAGCAGCATTACATTCTTACAGGAAGGCAAACATGTAAACTGTGCATGGGAGGGATCTAGGTTGTGTGCTTCTTATGAGAATCTAATGCCTGATGATCTGTCCCTGTCTTCCATCACCCATAGGTAGGACCATTTAGTTGCAGAAAAACAAGCTCAGGGCTCCCAGTGACTACTTGTTGGTGAGCTGTGCAATTATTTCATTCTTTCATTATGTGTTACAATGTTATAATAATAGAAATAAAGTGCAGGATAAATTTAATGTGCTTAAAACATCCTGAAACCGTCCTGCCCCCGACCCCACCCTGGTCCATGGAAAAACTGTCTTCTACAAAATTGATCCCTGGTGTCAAAAAATTTGGGGACCTCTACTATAAAAGCATTTCAACTTGTAACAGACTCCAAACACTCCCAAGTTCGTTGGTGTATTTTACTGAGTCACTCCTCACATTTGGCTTTCAATAAATCATTATCAAATTATTTCTTCCTGGCCAGCACTGTGGCTTATGCCTGTAATCCTAGCATTTTGGGAGGCTGAGATGGGAGGATCACTTGAGCTCAGGAGTTCAAGACAAGCCTGAGCAACATAGTAAGACACTGGCTCTACACAAAATTTGAGAAATTAGCTGATGTAGCAATAGGTACCTGTAGTCCTGACTACCTGGGAGACTGAGGTGGGAGGTTCATTTAAGCCCAGCAGATTGAGGCTGGTGTGAGCTGTGATTGCACCACTGCATTCCAGCCTGGGTGACACAGCAAGATACTGTCTCAAAAAAATTATTTATTTCTAAACAGACTTAATTTGGGTTGATACTGGAGCCTGTAGAATGAGAAGCTTTGTACATCATTGAGCACCAGTCAAGAAGTGAGAGTAAACATGCCTCGTCATTTGTCAGATGGTGATGGTTTTTGTCCTAACCAGCTCAGCACACTGAGCCTAAACCTCCCTCCAGGCTAGCAATAGGGGCTTCACAAGAGACTCACTCTTCCTGTGTGTGTGTTCCTCCGCAGGATTAATGACAGAGTCCACACCTTGAACTAAACAGCTTGTCTCAGTCTGTTCCTGCTGGCTGACAAAGCTCTGCCTGCACCTTGGAGTAGATATTTGGGATTTTTCCTTTCCATCCACACCACCTACTTGAAAATGCTTTTATTCTCTGACATTTGATCATTCTCCCTACTCAGCAGGTCAGCCCTGCCCATTACTTGTCTCTGGAGACCTCAGTGATCTAGAGCTCAGCCTCCCATACTCACTTTCCATGGGAAATGAGGAAATTAGAAGATTTCTATTGAAACACAAGGATGCTTTTGCACTGAGACACCCAATCCCAGACCCATTTACCTGGCTTGTATCTGGTGATGCATCTGGTATTCTTTGCTCATCACACACAGCAACACACTCCAACTGAGACTGAGCATGCTTTGGGGAAAGGCAGTTATGACATAGTGTGCCTGGAAAAATGCCTGAACTATTTTGGGGTCATACTTGGAAATTTATACTTACACAAGGGTCAACTAAGGTATTGTTGTGAGACTTCAGTATTCTCTGCTGAAAAAAACAGAAAGATTGGCTTACAATATTGAGTGTGATTTTTCATTAACCCTACATTTGAGCAGACTTTTATTTATTTAGAGATGGAGTTTTGCTTTTGTTACCCAGGTTGGATTGCAATGGCATGATCTTGGCTCACCGCAGCCTCCACCTCCTGGGTTCAAGCAATTCTCCTGCCTCAGCCTCCCGAGTAGCTGGGACTACAGGCGTGCGCCACCACGCCCAGCTAATTTTTGTATTTTTAGTAGAGACGGGGTTTCACCATGTTGACCAGGATGGTCTTGACCTCTTGACCTCATGATCCACCCGCCTCGGCCTCCCAAAGTGCTGGGATTATAGGCGTGAGCCACCGCGCCCGGCCTATTTTTAAGGGATTCATGCCACAACCCTTCTTTTTTTCATGTCTGCTTTTATGGGCCTATACATCTAACTGGAGAATAAAAAAGCACTAAATTATGTGTCTGTGACAGTTTGGCCCAGTGCAAGTGCCATTTCCTCTCTCTCACACCCAAGGCAGGCCGTTGTGAAGCCATTCTGGGAGACTGAGCTGGAGTAACTCTATTGGTTCTCCTACTTCAAGCGGCCGTCAGGCATGTTTGTCTAAGTTTTGAAGTGTCATTCCATCTGGAGAAGCTGCAAAGGGAATCCGCTGACTCTTTCTCCACAGTCCCCAATGATCACAGGGCCCAGAGTCCTGGAGGCTGTGCAGGTGTCCCAGAGAAGAACTCCATCACTTTCGCAGCTCTCCAGAGAGCTACATCCCTAAAGACAAAATGCCTCCAAGGTCCCCAGTGCTGTAGCTCTTCTCCTGAAGGTAAGCACCTCTCCACTTTCTCCTGAATCTTGAGAGTTTGCTTCGACCTTGGGTATCTGTGGAATGACTTGGCCTTCTTCCAGTCTGGAACAATGACTGCTTCAGCTTTTGTCAGTAGCCCAGGGCAGAGAGGCCTTAGACAAACCACTCAGTGTGATCCGAAGCACAATGATAGAAAGGTAGCCATATTACCACCTGCCGGAAGCAATCTGGGCCTTTTGGCTAAGATAAAGTATAGCATATTAGTGGCTAGAATCTCTCACTCTGTCCCATTGCTTATCACCCAGGCAAGACAACGAGGCTGACAGAATCCTTAAGGTTCATCCTTTTGGCCTCCTTTGTTTTGCATCATTTCATTGGCCAAGCCCATCACCTGGAGCTTTGCGGTGGCTCCACAGTTGTTTGTTGAATGGATACATAAGTGCATGAACAAATGAATGCAATTGTCAAGTGGGAGAAGAGGTTTCTTAGTAGCCAGTAAGTGATTAGCTTGAAATTTTATATCTTACGATCCTGGAGTATCTCAGCTATCCCCAGCAGGTTTAATAAAAAACTTACAAGCAGGGAAGCTGGCAACAGTAGCACTTGCAGTGCTGAGAGTGGCACAAACCAAGGGGAGAGGGGAGACAGACCCTCCGGAGAGAGCCTCTGAGAACTGAGGCAATTTCACCACAGCACCTAAGAGTCGTGGGCCCTCAGGGAGTGGAGAGAGGGCGCCTGTGATGAAGGGCTGGGAGATGGCCAGCTCAATTGACTAGCCCAGGCTGTGTCACCCTTGACTGTCTGGCACTGGGTAGACATGTTTGCTTTTAATAATTATATCAAATAATGTCTCTATCCAGAAATCCAGTGGTTGCAGAGCCTCATCACCAAGTCTCCAGTCATAAAGCCAGTGGAGCAGGTAGCCCCAGGAGCCAGCTCTGTAAAGATTGTGACTTCCTGGTATGGCAGAAACATCCAAGGTCACCTATGTCAGAGCTTAGGAAAATGGAAGTTCTTCCATCTCCTTCCTTCACCAGGTTCTTTCTTATACCCGGCCTTGGAGAGGCCATGGAAGGTATCAGTGATCTCACCATTTTTCCATAGACTATATGTAGCATGAAGACCACTGGTCTATCAACTCCACAAACTACTTCCATGGAGGGAGAATTCACCTTCACAGATGGAAAGGAAGTCTGTGCAGTCCCTTTGCTGGGGCCAAAGGGCCTCTCCACAAAGGAAAAGATTTTCCGGGTCAGCAGCCTCACAGGATACTCTGGCTCCCAATTAAAAATTTTCCCACCTGTCAATGATAGACTGGCTAAAGAAAATGTGGCACATATACACCATGGAATACTATGCAGCCATAAAAAATGATGAGTTTGTGTCCCTTGTAGGGACATGGATGAATCTGGAAACCATCATTCTCAGCAAAAAGACACAAGAACAGAAAACCAAACACTGCATGTTCTCATTCATATGCAGGTATTGAACAATGAGAACATATGGACACAGGGAGGGGAATATCACACACTGGGGTATGTTGGGGGGTGGCGAACAGGGGAGGGACAGTGGGGGTCGGGGAGGTTGGGGAGGGATAACATTGGGAGAAATGCCTGATGTAGGTGACGGGGGGATGGAGACAGCAAACCACCATGGCATGTATGTACCTATGCAACAATCCTGCAAGATCTGCACATGTACCCCAGAACTTAAAGTACAAAAAAAAAAAAGATAATGTCTGAGCTAGAAAATAAGTTTTGCATTCAGGCACAATTCACTGCCTAACCTTCTAAGTGTCTTTCATTTAAATGTAATAAGAGTTTTTCCTTTAAATTCAATAAATTATTTAGCTTTCAAAAAAATTGTTTTCCCTTGCAGAACTCCCTGTGTGTGTGTGTGTGTGTGTGTGTGTGTGTGTGTGTGTGTGTAGGAAATATAAAAGAAAAAGAGAGAATTTTTTTTGTTGTTTGCTTCCCTGTGTGACTTTTGTCTATACATACATTTCAGGAGGAATTCTCCATTAGGTCATCTATAGTGACCATCAGATGTTTCTAGGGGAACTTTTACTTTGTATTTATTTCTTAAATATAGAATCCAGAAAAAACAGTGAAAAACAATCAGTGTTTATGTTGAGGTTGCAAAGGCAGTAGATGCTAAATGCATTGTTTTGTGCATCTCAAACTCATGCTTATTTTTCCAACGCCAGCCCTATCTTTTTTTTTTTTTTTTTAATGGCACCGGGCATGATGGCTCATGCTTGTAATCACAGCCCTTTGGGAGGCTGCGGTGAGCAGATCACTTGAGGTCAGGAGTTGAGACAAGCCTGGCCAACATGGTGAAACCCCATCTCTACTAAAAATACAAAAAAATAGACAGGTGTCATGCCATACACCTGTCCCAGCTACTGGGAAGGCTGAGGCACAAGAATCGTTTGAAGCAGCGAGGTGAGGGTTGCAGTGAGCCGAGATTGCACTACTGCACTCCAGCCTGGGCAACAGAGCAAGACCCTGTGTAAAAAGAAGTATGGCCAGCACAGTAACTTATGCCTGTACTCCCAGCACTTTGAGAGGCTGAGGTGGGCGAATCACGAGGTTAAGAGATTGAGACCATCCTGGCCAACATGGTGAAACCTCATCTCTGCTAAAAATAAAAAAAATTAGCTGGGCATGGTGGTGTGTGCCTGTAGTTCCAGCTACTCGGGAGGCTGAAGCAGGGGAATCGCTTGAACCCAGGAGGTGGAGGTTGCAGTGAGCTGAAATCATGCCAGTGCACTCCAGCCTGGTGACAGAACAAGACGCCGTCTCAAAAAAAAAAAAAATTATGGCAGTTAGCTGTTTTGCTAAAAAACACATGATTCAGTTCTGTCTTTTAATCTCTTTCTGAGGATAGTTTCTATCTCTATCTCAAATGTTTTGATGCTCAAAGGAGCCCTGGAATTATACACTGAATAATGCTGGAAAGGAGCAACCGCAAAAGGCTCATATTATAAAATCAAATTTTATGATGATGGGTCAATTTAAAGACAGTATCGCGACAGAGATAGAAAATCGACAACATAATAGATGAGACACTGGCGGAAGGTCACTTGATCATCACCTTTTTTCTTGTGGTTGGTGGTTCTGGCAGACGTCGTTTCTGAAAAAGAAAAGGTATGAGTGATTTGATGGGTTTTCGCTTTTGTTTTGTGAGCTTAGTGTTTCTGACTGCCTTCTAAATATTCCTACCTGGATGCCACACTGTTAACTCAAATTCAAGGCATTTTCATGGACATTACTTTCCATGATTCACCAGGGATTAAAGGAAGCATGTCGATGCTTTCCTCTGCCCTCATGACTTCTACAATCAGTCCAGAGAATGTAGCCACCTCATTTCCCCCAGCTTCTTGACACATTGTGGAGCAGATTTGCATGCTGTCCTTTCTATGTATACAGAATGTCCCATTCTACAGTTTTGCTAGTTGTTCGCCTTTTTATACCTAGCTCAGTGCAGAAGTTCCACAAAACGGTCCTCAACCTCAAAGCCAGAAATGACCTTGCCTTCTTTGAACTATTGCACCTCCTCCAATGTCTCTTGTGAGAACATTGACACTGTGTCCGGGCAGTTATGAAAGGACAGCCTTCCTTCTGGGTGGGGGCTCACACTTTGTATACTCTCCATAGCTTTAGATGTGGTTCAATAAATATTTGCTGATCAAAGATCTTTTACTTTGTATATTACTTATTCATTTATTTTTGGAGACGGAGTCTTGCTATGTTGCTCAGGCTAGAATGCAGTGCAGTGCCTATTCACAGGTACAATCCTCTTACTGATCAGCAGGAAAGTATTGACCTGCTCTGTTTCTAACCTGGGCTCGTTCACCTCTCCTTAGGCACTCTGGTGGTCTCCTATGTTGATGCTGAACTTAGCGTGGACACCTAACTGGCATAGCACACTACCGCTCAGAACTCCTGGGCTCAAGTGATTCTCCTGCCTCTGCTTCCTGAGTAGCTGGGACTACAGACATGCACCACTGTGCCTGGTAGATCTCTTTTTTAATTGTTAGAGTGGCACAAGGAAGGACAGTCTGCGGGTGTGCAACAGAAAGCACTGTATTTGGAGTCGAAAGACACAGGTATCATTGTAACATCAAGGGGTTGACATGAGAAGCAATGAAGTTACTTTAAACCGAAATTTATTTACATTCTCTTACAAGAATAAATTTGAGATGGCCTATCCAAAGGAATCTTGTTGAAATATTTTATAATCCTAAAACTACATAAATATGTATCTGTAGTTCCTGGATATATATATATATATATATATATATATATATATATATATATATATGTGTGTGTGTGTGTGTGTGTGTGTGTGTGTGTGTGTATGTGTGTGTGCATTTAACATTTACCCCTTCCCCCCAAATTTAAGACTTCCCCTCCAGTTTAAGTTACTTTCATGTGACAAAATTGCACAGTTTATTAGTGGCAGAGTCAAGGCCACAATTTGCCACCTGACCTTCAAAAGGATAAGAAATAGAGTACTTAGAGGATTAAGCTGTAATATAAGCCAGCCAAGGTAATGTTCACGTGAGAATGTTAGTAATAACGTATGCATCGAGACCTGGGCAGGGGAAGTCATGACAAGTTTCTGGACACTGAGGAATTCTGCTAAAGCCTGGTGTTAGTGAAGCATGACAGCTAAATCCTTGATTTCAGCCATTTGTCACTAGAATACCTCCATCAGGGATTTCAGGGTGTATCCACCACAGCGTATGCTTAGCTTCCAATTCTTGGATGCTTCGTGGCCTCCTTTAATTTCAAATTCCCTGGGAGTGAACCACCTTTTATCCTCAGTCTGTATACACTTCTTTGAGGTTCCTGTAAGACCAAGACAAGATGAGCTCCCCAACTGTGAAAAGACCTGAACTTGACCTTCCCCCATGCTTGGATCTGGAGCCACCCGCTTTCGGCTCAGGATCCTAGTAGTAGAGCCTGAATTTTCCACTCAGACATCAGGGGCTTCATACCCAGCCTGAAGCAACAGAGAAGGTGACTCTGTCATGTGTATATATTTCTTTGACCTTCATGCAATGAGGAGACATATTACTACCAACATTTACCTTTTCAAAGTATTTTGCTATATACCAAATATCGGGGGTGGATGGGATGAGTGGCCCTAAAGAATGAGCAGAATTCTTTCTCTTCTCTTCTCTGAGACCTGTTGTAGGGTCAGTCTTAATTTTAGAGTGGTGGATGAAGGTACAAAGCCCTCTACCGTGCTCTTGGGTTCCCAGGGGGCCATGCGGAAGCTGTTACTATAGCCAAATCTGCCTTGTCTTGTACCAGATTGTTCACTCAGCAAATGACAATCAATTATGTTTCATATTTTGAACTCATGGTTATTTTATATTAAAAGTAATTATGAAAATGTTACAGAGTGGGAGAATTTAAATTACGCTTATGCAACATAGCCATGGGGCAAACATTTGTATTTGTTGGTGCTCAAAGAACTATACTGTGTGTGGGGGGCGTCAGTCACAATAGATGAACACTGGTTCTGTAATTATCAATTATAATTTGCAAAGTATTTTATGTCTGTTTTTTTCTCATGATAATACGGTGAAGCAAGTTATATTATTGTTCTGATTTTGTAGAGAAGGAAGTTCAAGGGTAGAGAGACCACGTACCTGGCTGTAGATGAATCAGACACTCTTGGTATAGCTGAAACTTGATTGCAGGTTTCTAATTCTAAACCCTGTTATCTTCCCATTTAGCAGAAGGCTTTACAGGTGTTATGGGAAACGGGGCTGTGAAAGTTAATGCTGCGATTCTCAGATGTGTACATTTTCCACCCAAGTAATGAGGTGCTTGCCCTTGTATCGGTGCTAGTTGGATGTCTTGTGGGCCTTTTACATGAGGGAAAGGAAAGATGGTCTCATAGGCTAGTGTTTTATGAATTCTAAAAGTGTAAAAATGCCATTGTTGTACAAAAAAGAGTTAACATATTGGGCCTTAGGCTATCCTTAGAGAGCCTATATTCAAGATTGGCCATTGTCTATGTGCAAGGCTGGCCATTGGCATTTGGGAATTTGGATTTTAGAAGAGTTCTATCATTCCCAGATCTCACTGTGGGGAAACAAACAACATCAATAAACACATTGCTCATCCAGAAAGATAAAGCCCTTTAAAGATAAATCCCTCTTATTTATGGTTATAAATAAATGCAATTTATTTATATTCTCTTACAAGAATGAATTTGAGGTAGCCTATCCAAAGAAATCTTGTTGAAATGTTCTGTAACCCTGGAACTACCTATCCTGATGCATTATATTCAGACATATGTAAATAAATTGCATTTATCTATAACCATAAATGAAGAAGAGGGCTCACTGTACCTGAACTGTTTGCACAAAGAATACGGTTTATGCTGAACACTTGCTTTCCTTCTGGGAATCTGGAATTTTGGTATGTGCCAGGCAGAGAGTGCCTATGTGACTAACCCCTGGCAAAAACCCTGGACTCCTAAACTCAGGCTGGCTTCCCTGGTAGACAACATTTTACACGCGTTGTCACAGCTTGTTGCTGCAAGCATTAAGTGACTCCTGCGTGACCGCTGGGAGAGGATTCCTGGAGCTTGCTTTTGTTGTCTCTGATCTTCACCCCATGTGCCTTTTCCCTTTGCCATGTTTTGCATGCTTCAGTCATAAACCCTAGCTGCAAATGTGATGATGTCCCAAGTCCTAGGAGAGCTCCTAGCAAATCACCAAGCCTGGGGCTGGTTTTGCAGACCCTCAAAGCAGGTGTTTACTCCTAAACAGCATGCTATCTGTGTGAATGTTTTCCAGCTGAGATTGTAGATGACCAACAAACTCACCTTGTTTGAATCGCTCCTTATGTAGAGTGCCCTTCACCTTACCACAGGTCACAGGAAGTTCAGGTTGTTCAAAATCAATATTTTTATCTCTGGGAATTCTTGGAGCTGCAAGGAAGCATTGTTTGTTTTCCATTCCATCTTCTTTCACAACTGTGCATTGTTCCCCCAGCCTGTCTTGAGAGCTTTCTTTTATAATGTAAAATGTATTGGAGGGATTTCCCCCATGAATCAGTTACATTTCAGAGTCTTTCTTTTATGGCACATTAGATAGCTACAGACACTGTCGTCCTCTATGCCACCCTCTAAAATCCCACACAACAGCCTAGTGTGTGGTAGGATCTCAGCTTTAAAGCTGGTTGGTCACATCCACCTATCACACAGTGATTTTCCTCCTGATGTTTGAAAGGGAGATTTCTACTCATATCATTGCTTTGATGTTATGTTCAAAAAAACCCCCTGAACTTTTAGTCTGATCTCCCCATTCCAGGCATTGACTGAGGGGACGGAGGGCAGGATGGCAATGTGGCCCCTAATGGAGCACCTTTCGGGGTGGTGCCTGTCTCCTTCTTTGCCAACTGCTTTGCTTCACTTCCCTTTCACTTGAGCTTTCTCTGTGGCTAAAAGGGAAGCTTGGTGTGAGGGGTTCCAGAAGAAATTGCACATTGAGAGAGGAGAGATGACTAGAGATTGAATGAAGGGTTCAAATATACAGTTAGAAGAAATAGGACCTGGTATTTTCAATAGATCAATAGGGTGATTATAATTAACAACAATTGTACATTTCAAAATAGCTAAAAGAGAATAATCTGAATAATCCTGGCATCAAAAAAGATAAATATTTAAAGTGATGGATATCCCAATAACTCTGATTTGATTATATGAAAGTATCAAATTATTACACGTACCCCCAAATATTTCTATCTTATTATGTATGAATCAATCAATATAAAAGAAAGTGAGCATTGCTCAGGGAATCCTGCAAGGGCACATGACTGGGGCACTGGGGATCTGGTTCCACTGAAGGTCTTCAAATGAAATTCTGGTCAATGTCAAGACTCAGCACTAGCTCTGTATGCCAATTAAGAAAACTGACCTATTACTCACAGTATAGAGTGTTAAATATTAAATGTTTAATTATGAAAAGCAATCAATTACTTCTTTTTACCTCTTCTTCTTCTTTTCAAAGGTCTAGTGTTGGCTTTTCTTCCTGAGAAAGTTGAAAAACAACATAAGTGTCTCTGCATTGCAAATAGTAGTGTTTTACAAAACCACCATTCAAATGCAACTTTTCAGGACCCTGTCTAGAACTTAAGGAAAAATATCAAATACCTAGATCAGGAGTCAGGAAGTTTTTTTTTGTAAAGAAACAGATAGTAAGTAGTTAAGATTTTTCGGTTCATAACCTCTGTTGTGACTACTCAGCTCTATAGTTGTATATGAATGCATCAATAGACAATGTATAAATCAAAGGATGTGACTGTGGCTGTGCTCCAGTTAAACTTTATTTACAGTCAGCAGAATGGATTTGCCCTGTAGGTCATAGGTTGCTGACCCAGATCTAGACTTAGTTACAACCATGATGCGTAACTATTTTTCTCTGAGATGCAGCCTATATAACTAACTGCATCTCTGAGATGCAGCCTATATTTCTCTATCAATATCTCCAAATCAATCCAAATGAATTTGAAACAGTATTTTTACCTGCTTTCCAAGCAACAGGAGAGCAAGAATGAAGTTGAACATGTGTTCAGTGCTTGTTGCATGCCAGGAGCTATCCTTAAATCTTTACCACTATTAACCTACTTTATCTTTAGAACAAAATCTATTAAATGGGCACTGGTACTATCCTCACTTAACAGATGAGGAAATGATGAGGAAATTGATGCTCAGAGCTAAAAATATAAATTAAAGTGTTTACAATTTTCTTTGGGAAAGAGACAGAGACAAAAATCAGCAACATATGGTCTCAGGACATAGCTCATGGTAGACTATACCAGTCAGATACGTAAACTTGGAAGGTTTTGTACTGAAAATGGTGAGGAAAATGACTAAGGACTTAAAAACTAACCCAATGAAGGCTATTCAAGAGGAATTTATAGAAATTAAGGCACAAGGCCTAAGAGTTGTACAGCTAAAGATAGCACAAAGGGTTGACTTAAAAGACATCTCAGGGCTGGCTGCGGTGGCTCGCGCCTGTAATCCCAGCACTTTGGGAGACTGAGGCAGGTGGATTACCTGAGGTCAGGAGTTCAAGACCAGCCGGGCCAACATGGTGAAACTCTGCCTCTACTAAAAAAAAAAAATAGCCAGGCATGGTGGTGTGTGCCTATAACCCCAGCTACCTGGGAGGCTGAGGTGGCAGAATCATTTAAACCTGGGAGGTGGAGGTTACAGTGAGCCAAGATAGCACCACTGTATACCAGTCAGGGCAGCAGAGCAAGACTCCATCTCAAAAACAAAACAAAAACCTGGAAGCATGTATCTATGTGCTGATTGATGTGTCCAAACAAAGAGCCAGTCATTCCAGATGTATGTTTAGATCTGCATCGTTCAAATGTGTTTGCTGAAGTCAGGGACACAAATTGGATGCTCTTTCTTTCTAAAGGTCTGTGCCCATTATTCTGTGCCCATGGCTGGTATCATAGGGTGCCGATTTGGGTCCTGCAATCCCCAGGAGGAAACCTCCTCCAGATACTCAATTGTGAATGCTCTTTCTTTTGAGCAAATTATGACTAGATTAGGCTGGAAAGGCATTTTTCCTTCAATCTAGCATAAAGAAACGTTGAGATTGATGATAACGTATTTTCTGGGCCCCTGTCATAACAATTACTTAGATATTTGCTTTTTGTTTTGTTTTGTTTTTTACCTCATCAAGATAAAAATGATACCATCAGACATTTACTGATAATTCACATGTCAAGAGGAATCATATCCCAAGAAAAAGCATACTCTACCTCACAAGATGTTGCCATTAGGAGGTTTATTAAAACATTATGGAGATACATGGTGAGGAGAGAATACTAAACTTGCATAAAAGAATTATAAACTTGGCTATTGAATTAAAGAGTTTTTTTTTTTTTTGACCGAGTCTTGCCCTCTTGCTCTGTTACCCAGGCTAGAGTGCTGTGGCACGATCTTAGCTCACTGCAACCTCTGCCTCCTGGGCTCAATGTTCTCCTGCCTCAGCCTCCCAAGTAGCTGGGATCACAGGTGCATACCATCATATTCGGCTAATTTTTGTATTTTTAGTAGAGATGGGGTTTTACCATGTTGCCCAGGCTGGTCTTGAATCCAGGGCTCAAGCAATCCACCTGCCTCAGCCTCCCAAAGTGTTGGGATTACAGGTGTAAATTACTGCACATGGCCTGAACTAAAGGTTTAAAAGAAACACGTAAAATGTGGAAACATTGAGAACTCGAGGAAGTAGATGAAGCTTTCTTACCACTCTTTGCTTGTCTCTCAGAAAAAGTTGTTCTAGCTTGATCATTTTCTAAGATCATGATCAGGCCAGGTGTGGTAGATAATGCGGTTGCTACAGGAAAATGTTATCCACACAGGGGTGGCTCTGGTGGGACTCTCCCTCCTGTCACTCATGATGCTCAAGTTGCAGGTGCACCCTGGAAATCTGGCCACTTCTAACTCTTCTCACCTTCCCCCAACTCCCCCTTTTCCCCACAGTCCCATCAAAAGACACCTGTGCTCTGTCTGCTTTCTTCTTTCCCACAGAGTGGTCAAACTGGAGATCCAGCTCTGGCCGTAACCTGGGTCTATTCAGAGTAGCCATTATTGGTCAATGTATGTTCTCTTGCTTTCAGTCTCTCTCTGTTTAAATCCTTCTTGGACTGCAGGGATTTCCTTTCAATCAAAACCTATTGAGGGCTTCAGGGCAAAACATCAGAAGCTGATTGCACTCCTTCCCAGTTCTTGGCATGAAGACACCTGGGCTGAGGAGCAGATCTTGTAATAAAGTGCTGCAGAACTGTGCTTTCCAGCGGCTATGTGTTCACTGGCTCCAGCACCTCACTACAATTGTACATCCAGGCAGCCGAATGCTGGGCCAAAGTAGGATTTAACAGTTCTTGGGTCTACCAGTCTTAATTCTACATTAATCACATAAAATAATAATATGGTCAGAAATAATTAAAAATTATTTTAAAAAGTATATATTTTTCAAAGCAGGGACTAATCATTATTGGCAAAAGAGTTTATCACCATGTTTAGGTGATTCTTTAGTTATCTCAGAGTATTGCAGAAGCCTCAACATCCAAGAATGCCACAATAGGAGCCCAGTACTCCTATATCCTAAGGCAAGATGCTAGTCTGTCTGCAAAGAACATGGTAGGGGATTGGGAGCCTGGCTCTGCAGCATCAGCCTTCTCCACCTCTAGGCTGTAGTAGAGAGGCCACATTTCTCTGGAGAGAATTGTCAGACACCTTCTCTCCAGCCAAATGAGAAGGTTTAAAGACATCTAAGCAGGAGACGGATCTCTGTCCCTGGGAATGTCAGGGAAAGAGAGACTCTCACACTCACCCCTGAGAAGCGTAAAGGTGAAGGTCATGGCTAGTGGGGTCAAGAGTGCCAGAGGGCTGAGCTGAGAGCCAGCAGGGGAATCAATGAAGAAACACAATTCCCATGGCCTGGTGCAGACCTTGTGGTTGGAGCTGGACTGGGTGTCACTGAGGGAACAGAGTGGGGTGTGTATCTTCCAGAAGGACCATCCAGTGTCTTAATTCCCACCAACCATGGAGAGGCAGTTGCATACACTGCTTCTGCCATTCTAGTGGGAGAATTCATAGCTAAAGGAAATATATATATATATATATATATATATATATATATATATATATAATATATTTATTTCACCATGTTAGGTGATTCTTTAGTTATCACAGAGTATTGCAGAAGCCTCAACATCCAAGAACGCTACAATAGGAGCCCAGTACCCCTATATCCAATGCTTTCTCTCTCTCTCTTTCTCTCTATTCATATATATACATATAATGCTCTTTCTCGCTCTTTCTCTCTCTCTATATATAGTGTATCTATATATACACACATATAAAGAGTGTATATATATACATATATGCATATAGAGTGTATATATATACACATATACACATAAATAGTATATGTATTCTATATATATGTGTGTGTGAATATATAATATATATATTCTATATATATTCTATATATATATGTGTGTGTGTATTTATATGTGTGTGTGTGTGTGTGTGTGTGTGTGTGTATGGAGAGAGAGAGAGAGAGAGTACTCCTTCAGCTAAACTGATAACTTTCAAGGCTGGAAATAGTTGTTGGCATAAAAATAAAAACAAAACAAACAAAAGCTATGTAATTAACAAGTGATGTAGCTGTCCCTCCTCTTGCCCATCACCATGGGGTAATTGTGTGGACTTGGGTCTGCCCCATGTAAATTACGGTTTTACTCATCTGTAAAGTGAAATTAAAGTCAGTTAGACTAGACTGACTGCCCTTCAAGGCCCATCCCAACCATATATATATATGGAGAGAGAGTAAGAGAGAGAGAGAGAGAGAGCGAGAGAGAGAGAGATGGGGTGTCTATATGAGGTTATGTGGCCAGAGAAAAAGTTTCAGGTGTCAAAACTCTTTTATATGACAAATTTGTCTGTAAATTTGAGCAGGATGGCAACAGGTCAGCCTGGCAGGAGATGGTGTCTATCTTCTCTGCTTGCCTCCTCCTCTTTCACAGCAGCGTTCTCCTGGCTGAAAGAACAGCTCAGCAGAGTTCTAGAATCATCTGCAAATTGCACGAGGGGAAGCTTTACATTTCAGAGCCTCTGTTTGGTGGAGTTGGGGACTGAAGAGCTGACTTAGTAGAAACAGGTATACATGTCTTAAAATGAACTTGAGGATGCTGAGCTGCCATTCCAAACCTTCCAGCTAGTGACACTGGAGAAGAGACACATTCTACAAGGTTTCTGTGCTGATGATGCAGGAGAGGGGGCTGTTCATGGTTTTTACCGATTCCTGTAGGAGATCCATGGAATGAGAAGTCACGTAGGAAGCTGGGATGGGCCTTGGAGGGCAGTCAGTCTAGTCTGACTTAATTGCACTTTACAAAAGAGTAAACTGTAATTTACTTGGGGCCGACCCAAGTCCACACAATTACCACATGGTGATGGGCAAGAGGGGGGGACAGCTACATCACTTGCGAATTACACCAGTTTTGTTTGTGTTGTTTTTATGCCAACAACTATTTCCAGCCTTGAAAGTTATTGGTTCAGCAGAGGGAGCACTCAAGCAGCTTCTGGGCCCTGGGGTCTGTTTGCAGATTCATCACCAAGCTACCCATTTGTGGCACTATCATCCTTTTTCCCTGACATATTTTGGAACTTGACTAAATCTGATATATTTCTCAACAGTAAGAACAGCTACATAAAGCAATTAGTTTCTTACTAAGAGCATGAGAATTTAGATGTTACTTATTTAAAGTTTTTTTTTTTTTTTTTTTTTTTTTTTTTTTTTGGATGCCGTCTTGTCTGTAGGACTTTTTTTTTCCCAGTTAAGTGTTTTCTAGGTCTGCCTCTTTTTCTCCCTGAGAAAATGGAAAAATATAAATAGAGATCGTGTATAAAACTAACATTATATATTAGTGCTTTCAAAAATGTTGTTTAGCTGTAACTTTTCCAGAGCCTAACACACAAAGAAAAATATATAACAGATAGACTTGCAATGACCATGCCTTTGATGGTTAACCTGCGTTCATCCCAGATTTCCTTTTCTTTACCGTGACATTAATCCAAATTTACTTGCCCCCCCACATTAATTTTAAAAAGAATTTAAGACAGAGTTTCATTTATATCCCAAATAATACTGTAACAACAATAATTATGAAGACTAACACCTAAGTGCTTATTATGTGCTAGACACTAATATAAGATATTTACACCTACTAATTCATTTATGAGATAGAGACTTCTACTACCCTATCACCAAGGAAGAAACTGCAGCATACAGAAATGGCAAAATGAAGGGAAGCATTGCAGATTTACTCTGGTTATGAAGCAGAAACCAATGGCAGCAATGCAAGAATTTGGATTGTCCAGATTATTATGATGGTGAGACACCAGCCACCATCTCAGCCCTCAGTGAAGGTGTTGGCACTGAAAATACAGTGAAAATGACCAAAGATCTTAGTCACATAGCTTTGGCCAAAAAATTAGGATCTAAAAAACTAATCATGAGACTATTGTCCAAGGGAGATTTGTATAGAGATTCAAGTCCCAGAAAGCCTTATGGTTAGAAATCCTATCTTGGGAATATGCTCTCAGGGTCAGCAGGTAATGGGGGGTAGGTAGAAAGACAGTGAGGTATGTGCAGGAGCATCCCATTAATGCCATGTTTAAAGGTGCTGATCTCTCAGGCAAGGCCATAAAGTGCACCCTTTCCCTCCCCTCCCCTCTCCATTCTTCTTTCCTTCCCACCTCCCTTCATCCTTCCCTCCCTCCTTCTTTCCCTCCCCATACCATCTCCTTGTCTTTGTCTTCCCTTCTCTTTCTTTCTGTGGCCTGGCCACAATTTGAACTTGTCCAACCATAGACATCTTAGGCAAACAAAGACTCTGCTGTCCCTCTATGTCTTTCTCTGGTCCTGTTGTAGTCACCTTTCATCAAAGCCCATTGAAGACAAACAAATTAGAGGTAGACGAGTAGTTTAGTTCAGTTTACTCAAGCTCAACTTACTAGGTTTGGGGCTTAAGATCTGCTAATACTGTAGAGCTCCTGGGACTTCCTTTGTAATTATTCTTTGCAAATTTTCTTGCTCAAATACCCCACAGGAAATAGTGCGGCTATTCTTGGATTTCCTATCTAAATGCTACCATGTTCTTGCTACAGAAGTTGAGTGAAGTGCTCCACCCTCCTTAAGACAAATGAGAAGACCAGCTTCAAGGTAACTGATCTGTACCTTCAGGGGTTTGAGGAAGGCAGAGACATTTATAGACTCAATCCTAGAATGTCAAGAGGGTATGAAGAGTCATAATTCCTATAGGACTCCCTGGGGAAAGAAGGAGCTCACTTAGTTCTTCTTGAGAGATATTCCATCTGGGAGAATCACTTGGATGGATGAGTTGACCCCAGCAGGAGCATACTGTGGACCTCCCAGGGCTGGGAGATGGAGACTGAGGAAATTGGTAAGCAGCCAGTTGAAGTTCCTGAATTAGGGGAACTTCAGTTGAGAGATTCTCTCTAAGTTGAGTGTCTCTGAAGAACTCACAAATGAATATCGCTCATGCATCCACCCTATCTAGGAGACACTAAAATCTATAAGGTTAGTGCAAAAGTAATTGCAGTTTTTGCTATTACTTTTTTTTTTTTAAAGGCAAAACACACAATTACTTTTGCACTAACCTACATAACATGAGTGCCGTTTCTACTCCTGATCACTTCCTTCTCCTCCTCCTTTTAGACCCAAATTAGCTGAAAGCAACAGATACTGAGTAGAGTTGGAGAGGAAGCGTGGGTGAAAGTAAATGCTGACTTCACCCAGCTTCCCTATCACATAGTTTCCAGTTTAAATATCAGCTCAGGCTTTTTAATATTAAATGAGATATTGCTGGCTGGGCGTGGTGGCTCACGCCTGTAATCACAGCACTTTGGGAGGTCGAGGCGAGCGAATCACGAGGTCAAGAGATTGAGACCAGCCTGTCCGACATGGTGAAACCCCGTCTCTACTAAAAATACAAAAATTAGCTGGGCGTCGTGGCGCACGCCTGTAGTCCCAGTTACTCGGGAGGCTGAGGCAGGAGAATTGCTTGAACCGGGAGGTGGAGGTTGCAGTGAGCCGAGATTGTGCCACTGCATTCCAGCCTGGCGCCTGGCGATGAAGCAAGACTCTGTCTCAATAAATAAATAATAAATAAATAAATAAATAAATAAAGAGATATTACTGCTAAAAGGGACTAGCATAGCTCTAGGGATTACCTAAGACTTCATCCATGGGCAAGAAAAGAACTATCTGAGAGAACAGGTTTGAAAAGGAAGTAGGAGAAGGAATAAATGTGATTTCTGCTTAGACTTAACAAATCCAACTATCCCTTATTTCCTAATCAGGGCTGGCATGTCTCTGCCCACATAGCTCTGTAATGCAGCTCAGCTTCCAGCTCCTGTTCTTGCCAAAGAGTCTCAGGTGACAAAAAGGCTGGCTCTGAATCAATGGAGAGTCTGAGTTTTCCTCCATTTGAGAGAATCAGTGACTTTGGAGGCAAATATGAAGGGCGAGTAGGCATATTGCTATTTGTCACCCATAGTCATTCTTTCTCCCATAAGCATAGACTTACAGCTGAACCCAGGACGACCTGGCCAGCGTGACATTTTTCAGCCTCACTTTACAGATAGCTCTGGCCATGTGACCAAGTTTTGGCCAATGGGATGCGGGCAGAAGACTTCTGAGTCTTCTATTAAAATAAATAAGTAGCTGGTTCTTTTGTCAAATTTTTTTTCATTTGCACTGGTTAGGAGACAATGTCAACCAGATCAGCCTCTGTGGACCCACAGTTGGAAACTTTATGTGAAGGAAGGAAGACTTCTGGCCTTTCAGATTATTTGGTTTAAGCCACTGCATTTGGGGATCTGTTTGTTACAATGACTTAGCTGCTACTCTAAATAATCCATTAGGTCTGAAGCCATCATGGCCCATAGGAGATTTTGGGGCTGCAGCAAAGATGGGGTCTGGCAGAAAGAATAGGAGCACGGTGAGTTCAAAGGAGTAAATCCCCACATTTCTTCTTACCTTTTTGGAGACCATTTGCTTTAAATGTGTGTCTTCTCTTTTTTCCTGCAAATAGAAAAGAAAAAAAATAATTCTTTAGAACTATAAACAAAGATTTATTCACTTTATATGTCAATGGTTATCAAGTATTTAATTTTGTTTTCCTTCCACTTTTGTGGGACTAAGCCCTTGGCTACCAACATCCGATCTTGGTAGTTGTCACCCAGAAACCAATGACCATAAAGCAACCTGTTTTTATACAGTGCTAGTCATTTACACTATGCTTGTACATATCCATATGTGGTCTTATCACTCACAATAAAGAAACTTTTTTTTTTTAACCAGTTGTTTTAGATCAGTATTTTTTTTTTTTTAGACCTGTCATCCAGGCTGGAGTGCAGTGGTGTAATCTCAGCTCACTGCAACCTCTGCCTCCCGGGTTCAAGTGATCTCAGCTCACTGCCAACCTCTGCCTCTCCTGCCTCAGCCTCCAGAGTAGCTGGGACTATAGGCACCTGCCACCACGCCCAACTAATTTTTTGTATTTTTAGTAGAGATGGGGTTTCACCATGTTAGCCAGGATGGTCTCAATCTCCTAACCTCATGATCCACCTGCCTCAGCCTCCCAGAGTGCTGGGATTACAGGTGTGAGCCACTGCACATACCCAAAAAAGATTTTAAGGGAGCTGAAATGAAGCAGAAGCTGGCAGCAGCAGAAGAGTACCAGGAGTGTAAAGCAATAATAGGTCTAAGAAGTCACCAGCAACAGCCAGGTGCAGTGGCTCATGCCTGGAATCCCAGCACTTTGGGAGGCCAAGGAATGTGGATTGCTTGTAGGCCAGTCCTTTGAGACCAGCCTGACCAACATGGCAAAACCCCATCTTTACTGAAAATACAAAAATTAGCCTGAAGTAGCATTTATCTGTAGTCCCAGCTACTTGGGAAGCTGAGGCAGGACAATTGCTTGAACCTGGGAGGAGGAGATTGCAGTGAGCTGTGATCACGCCACTGCACTCCAGCAGTCTGGGCGACAGGGCAAGACTCTGTCTCAGAAAAAAAGAAAAAGAAAAAAAAGAAAAGAAAAAAAGAAATACATTACCGGTGAAGTACACTTCTTAGAATTCAGAAGCATGCCTTAAACAGTAAAGCCATAATCATGCTTATAACAAGGAGAACTTAAGAAAGAAGTAGAAAAAAAAATCAGAGAAATGATGACAATTTAGAAGGCAAATAAAAGAGATTAGGCATTTCAGAAATTAAAGCGAAGGACAGAAATTGCATAAATAGGAAAAGGAAACAAGAAACTTTAAGAACAATTAAGAAAAATTAGAGAGAAAATAAGCTGGACACAGTGGCTCACACTTGTAATCTCAGCATTTTGGGAGGCCAAGCCAGGTGGATCACCTGAGCTCAGGAGTTTGAGACCAGCCTGGCCAACATAGTGAAACCTCATCTTTATGAAAAATTAAAAAATTAGCTGGCATGGTGGCACACGCCTGTAGTCCCAGCTACTTGGGAGACTGAGGCAGGAGAATCACTTGCCCTGGGAGGCGGAGGTTGCAGTGAGCTGAGACATTGTCTCAAAAACAAAATAATATAAAATCAAAATTAGAGAGAAAATAATTAATGTAAGTGAACAAATTATTGAAATTCCCAAAGAAGAAAATCAAAATAATGGAAGAAATACTTGATGAAAAAGTTTGTGGAGTTATAATATAAAATGAAATATATACATCAAAAGTATCTATCTCTTCACCTTGTCACAGAGAATTGACTCAAAACAGCCAACACCCAGGTATATTTCCAGCAAATTTATTGGACTTTAAAGGTAAATAAAGAATAAAATGGGCAGTGTAGGCAAAAAGTTATTTTCAAGGGAGGAGACTTACTGGCCACAAAATTTTCCACAGCAACATTTAATGCCACAGGAAAGTGGAGAAAAACCTATAAGATATTTCTAGAAATACAGAATGAGGCAAACTATTTTTCAGGTATAAATAACACAAACGAATAATTTTGAACAGAAAAGTTCTTGGAATGCAGTTTCTGAGTCCTTACTGGGAAAGTTGCTAGAAGATAAAATTCAGCAAATTAAGGTAGAACTGAAAAATTCTGGCAAAAGGACCAAAATAAAAGTGACAGATGAAAATATCAAGTGCATATGCTCTGACAATATAGAAATTGTATATAATAACAAAAAAAAATGAGGAGGAGGGTTGGGTAAAGTGGCTCGCACCTGTAATCCCAGCACTTTGGGAGGCTTAGGTAGAAAGATCACTTGAAGCCAGAAGCTTGAGACCAGCCTGGGAAAACTAGCAAAACCTCGCCTCTACAAAAAATTAGAAAAAAATAGCAAGCTGTGGTGGTGGACACCTGTAGTTGTAACTACTGGGGAGGCTGAGGTGGAAGGATCACTGTGGTTAGGGGTTGTAGCTCTAACACCACTGCCCTCTAGCCAGGGAGACAGAGTGAGACCCTGTCTCTAAAATAAAACAAACAAACAAAAGACAAGGAAGAGAGAGCAAAAATGGGCTGTAGAGCAAGTTCTTTGTTTATTTCATAGGTAGGAGTCTAAAATTCTTGTGTTGACACATCCAAGAGTGGATGAAAGCATAGTTAATGGCTGAAAGGTAAACATAATGGAAATGTCATGACCTAAAAGCTGGGTAGGAGAGGAAAAAAACTGGACAACAGAATGGCACACAGGCCGATTTTATAAATCTTCTGGGTGGGAAATTAAAGGGCACTGTCTAAAATAAAGCACCAAAGGAATCATATAAAGGTAATCCTAAAAGTAATCACTGAAACAAAGACACAAATCTTCTTTAAATTGGAAGTATACACCCCTAACCATTGTGAAAATAGGAAATGAGTGTGGGCTGCTTACCCGTTGATTTATTTCAAGGGAAAGACTCAGAGGTGGCTCACATATCTTCTGCTCTGCCCTTGGCTAGAACCTAGTGACTTGGCCAGAGCTAACTGTAAGAAAGGCTGAAAGTATAGTGATTTGGTTTGGCTCTGTGTCCCCACCCAAATCTCATGTTGAATTGTAATCTCCATGTGTCAGGGGAGGGGCCTGGGGGAGGTGATTGGATCATGGAAGCAGATTTTCCCCTTGCTGATCTCATGAGAGTGAGTTCTTACAATATCTGGTGGTGTAAAAATGTGGTACTTCAGCAGCCAGCACTGGAACTTGCAACTGCCTAACATGCTAAGCTTCCTGGGAAGGTGAAAGGTGGCATCCATCTCTATAGCTCCAGGCCACGCTTTTCCCCTGCTGGAGTCTGGGAAGCTGGATGGCTTAGTCCCAAGACCTGGCCCCTACAGCCCAACACACTGGCTGTAGCTGACTGTGGCCAGAGTGCCTCTTCAGGCCTAACCCTGACTCATTCTTCCTCGCTGGGCAGGGCTTCCCTGCAGGAACTCCAAAAACTGTAGCCAGAGGCTCAGGGACAGAACCCAGATATCCCTGGGCCTGCGCCCTAATAGGGAGGGGTGGCCATAGTCTCTGTGGACCAGCAAACTTAGCCTTTCCTCCCGGTAGTTCTGAGGAATCCAGGCAGCCCAGACAAGTGGGTTTCCCCCCAGCAAAGCACACCCTCTATACCAAGGGACAGTTAATGTGTTTCATTGAATAAAGTCTCCAAGAAATATGGGACTTTGTAAAAAGACCAAACCTACAGTTGATTGGAGTACCTGAAACAGACAGGGAGAATGGAAACAAGCTGGAAAACACACTATTATCCAGGAGAACTTCCCCAACCTAGCAAGGCAGGCCAACATGCAAATTCAGAAAATACAGAGAACACCACCTAGATACTCCATGAGAAGATCAACTCCAAGACACATGATCATCAGATTTTCCAAAGTCAAAATGAAGAAACAAAATGTTAAGTGCAGCCAGAGAGAAAGGCAAGGTCACCTACAAAGGGAAGCCCGTCAGATTAACAGCAGATCTCTCAGCAGAAACTCTACAATCCCAAAGAGATTGGGTGTCAATAATCAACATTCTTAAAGAAAAGAATTTTGAACCTAGAATTTCATATGCAGTCAAACTAGCTCCATAAGCAAAGGAGAAATAAAATCTTTTTCAGACAAGCAAATGCTGAGGGAATTTGTTACCACCAGGCCTGCCTTGTAAGAGCTCCTGAAAGAAGCACTAAATAAGGAAAGAAAAAGCTGGTACTGGCCACTGCAAAAACACACCAAAATATAAAGATCAATGACACTATGAAGAAACTGCATCAACTAGTGTGCAAAATAACCAGACAGCATCATGATGACAGGATCAAATTCACACATAACAATACCAACCCTAAATGTAAATGGGCTAAATGCTCCAATCAAAAGACACAGACTGACAAATTGGACAGAGTTAAGACCCATCAGTATACTGTATTCAGGAGACGCATTTCACATGCAAAGACATGCATAGGCTCAAAATAAAGGGATGGAGGAAAATTTACCAAGCAAATGGAAAGCAAAAGAAAAACTGGGGTTACAATCCTAGTCTCTGACAAAACAGACTTTGAACCAACAGAAATCAAAAAAGACAAAGAAAGGCATTACATAATGGTAGAGGAAAAAATTCAACAAGAAGAGCTAACTATTCTGAATATATATGCACCCAATACAGGAGCACCCAGATTCATAAAACAAGTTCTTATAGACCTACAAACAGACTTAGACTCCTACATAATAAGAGTGGGAGACTTTAACACCCCACTGTCAATATTAGACAGACCAATGAGATAGAAAATCAATAAGGATATTCAGGACTTGAACTCAGCTCTGGATCAAGTGGACCTAATCGACATCTACAGAATTCTCCCTCTCAAATCAACAGAATATATATTCTTCTCAGTGCCACATGGTATTTATTCTAAAGCCAACCACCTAATTGGAAGTAAAACACTCTTCAGCAAATGCAAAAGAACTGAAATCATAATGAACAGTCTCTCATATCACAGCACAATCAAATTAGAACTCAGGATTAAGAAACTCACTCAAAACCACTCAATTACATGGAAATTGAATAACCTTCTCCTGAATGACTACTGGGTAAA